GAATAAATGATGGCCAAAGTTTCTTTTTCAGGTCACCCTACCTTGATCAGAGATGGCCTTTGTGTATAAAAAAATAAAGAGTAGATACATAGATATACATGTGTAGTCCCACTTTGTCTGTCATTTTTTAATGATGTACAAGGTAATGTGATCCAATCAGGGTGACAAGTAGGATTACAAGACAGCAGAATAAAAAAGATTGAGATTCTTTATCAATCAGGTTCTGAGCTGTTGTAAGGATCCCTTTATGTTGATAGCCTCTTGAGTGTCTTGAGGAAACCTCTTAGAACTTTTATTTAATATTGTGCAGTTCATAATGTTTGGCTAGTCTTATTTGCTACAAATACACTTGTGCTTAGGTGTAAAAAGTGGTTACAATACCGAGATGCAATCAAGTTGTAGAGACAGACTTTTAAAGTAATCTGTGTGGGCAGCATTCACAGCTGAGAAGCAGGCAACCTCCTGTTCACATCTTACATCCTGGAGCATATCTGTGGCAATGTTTTCCATGATTTACCTGTCCCAGCTGAATTGTTTGTGGCCCATCAGCAGAACTGGTCTAGGTGCTTCTGCATGCACACCCATGTCATTTACCTCTATTCAAACATTGCATCATACTGAAATAAAGTACCTTATCTAACAGTAGTAAATTACTAATGGAATTGAGATTGACTCTCCACTACTCCCTGCAATAAATGACCCACTTGGGTTTAGCATTTTACAAAAGATAAATAAAAGAGCAGATGCCATAAGTAAAGCTGGCATTATGCACTCCCCACTGATTTTTTTAGGCTTTTTGGCATATGTTTCATTAGCTGAACAGATCCTGTGGAGGAGAATAGAAAGCCATGGATTTAAATTTTCTGTTGCTAAATCTCAAGACTGTTATCCCTCATACCACTCTTTACCAGTATGGTTCCATCTGTTGAATGTCCTAGAAGCCTTGCACAACCTCCCTGAAAGCTGCTTCTCATAGCCACCTGACCCTCTTTAACCCTTAAACTGTCCAAGCAGATCTACGTTCACATGTGTAGTGCTCCAAAAGTAGATTACATTTTTTTACATATTTTCAAATATAACAAAAAAAAAGTTGATCAAAGTTTTTTACACGTTTTCATATGTAAAAAAAAAAGATCTACTTTTTTTACGTACTTTCAAATGTTGAAAAAACGTAGATCTACGTTTGGACGGTTTAAGGGTTAAGACTCTAGCCCATCTTTCTTGGAGGGCCTTTCTTCACCTTCAGTCAGTCCTAATCTTATTTAAATTCAACTGTGGTGACCAAATATACAGTATATGTTTCAGCCTCCCCAACTACTCTTTCTACACTTGAACCCAATCATTATCAAAGGTTACATTTGTCTTCATGCTTTTCAATCTTCTTCAGTCAAGAGCTTGTATGCATGGGTGAACATCGCATCTTTACAAGATTGAGGCAGTGCCCATTGCCTCTGTTATTTCATTCATTTCCATGACCTTCAGGACCCACATAAACAGTTAACTTATAATAGTATTGCTGATTCGTGTAAATGTCACCCTTATTTATTATTGTCCTTCTCTTTTCATACTTGCTTTCTCATGTCTTCCCTTAATTTACCTGACCTATGTTCACACTACATCTTGCTCTTCCTTTCCTTCTTGGAAAGTTTTGACGATTCATATTTGCTCTTCTGTACTTCCATGTGTAAAGGTTCACTTGCCTCCAATTTCACGTTCATCCTTTCTTAATCACTTCAGTCTCACTCTCATGCTCTTGTAACATACATTGATGGTTCAGGATCCCCCGATGGTGTTGGTATGTGGCTGTTCTTTTCTGAATGAATCATCAGAGGTCATTTATTGGATTCATCTAGTATTTGCATAGCATAGTTAAAGTACTATATGTAATTCTCACTGCTATCATCCACATCATTACCATGTCATTTGTAGTTGTTTCAAACTCCCAAAGTGCATTACAGGCTTTCCAGAAAATAAATTTTCTCAACACATTGTTCTTCATATATAGCTTTGGCCACGCAACATTTCTAGTAAGCTCAAAGAAGCATACGTATTTTGCTGGGTCCCTGGACATTACTGTGTTTAGAGCAATGAACATGCAGACTCAGTTACACAGTCAGTTATTCAAGACCTTCAGATTTCACCTTAGGGATATTCCTTATTCAGACAATTTTTTAGTGCTCTCTCGCCACCAATGCAACTGCTGGCAACGGCATTGGTCCATATTGAACCACAATGAATTGCTTTCTATCAAATCCCATTTAGGATTCTGGCTATCTTCTTCCTACCATTGTTGGGTTTGGACACATGCAGCTTACCCACAGATATCACATGGAGAAACAACTGACACCACTCTGTGAAGACAGTCAGGTTGCATTATCCATTCATCCTATGTTAATAGGTTGTCCCGCTCGCCAGAATACACACAGGATGTCTGAAACATCTCAACACACGTGCTTTTAATGACCTTACTGCTAAAATTTCTTTCTTTGATACTGACTCTTATTTGAGTTTTTAACTGTAACTAACATATCACACCAACTTTGATATCAATTTTACTTACACTGGCCCATGCCCCCCACTAACCCCTAACTGTGCATACTCCTACCATTTGCTAACTCTTAACTTTTGCTCATTTCTACTTTCACTTATTCCTCCTCTTGGCACTGTATGACCGTTACAGGTTTAGTACTGGATTTGATTATTATAATAACCTTCTCTCGAATTTCACCTCATATTCCCCTTCATTATACAGCAGCCTGAGTCCATTTAGGCAAGTGGTACACAGTCTGCTCTCTGTATCTTTTTCCTTCTTGCCCATTATCTATCCTTGACATTCATTCTGATATTTTCTTGCCTATGCCACCCCTTTTATTAGGCGACGTTAATGCTCGTCGTTTTCTTTGGAAGGTCTCGCTGCTCTTCCTCTCCATGCTATAATCATCTATATCCCAGTACATTTAGATCTTTGAGCTTATACATTTTCTGTATAGATCTCTATATCTCTTTTATAGTGCTGGACTTTGCTTGGTCTGCTGTACCTGATCTTCATGACATTGATCATTTCTCCTCTTCTCATTACTTCTTATTCTTAAACTCATCCCTCTTGTTGCTTCTTCTGGCAGTTTGAGTAGACAGATTGATCTCTTTATACAAGCCATACCTTTTTTCCCAATGTTGCTCCTTCTTCATCCTCCTCAGATGAGTTGTTGCAACTTTTTACCACCTCTGTTCTTGCTGCAGCATCAGTTGCAATCCCTTGAACCTTGGGTAAACATTATTGAAATGTGTACCCTGGTTGTCTCCCAATTGTGTTCAAAGTGTGCATTTAAAACAGTCTGCCTGGGGCCACTACCATTACAACAAAACTGCAGATTAGTTCCTAGCTTTTAAACAGCCCTGAGTGCTTGTGCATTATGTTTTATGGGGAATAAAACATACTTATTGGCGAGCTGCCTTATCCACATCCCTACCAGTGCTTCTATGTGTGCAGGTTGGAAACAGGCATGGAAGTTGCTTGACATATACCCAGCTCTCGTTCTTACAGTTGTTGCCAAAAGAGTTGCAGACTCTGTTGAGGTTGTTACATCAATTGAACATTACCTTGTTCTTGTATCCCAAGGGCTGCATCCCTCCCACTCATTTCTTTCCTCCAAACTAAAATGAAATTGGCACCTGTAGATTTAACTTCTCGCATTAAGGATCCTAATACTGTATATAATATGACTTTTATGCACTATGAAGTTGTCTTCATTGTCCTGATGACATCCATGCCTGTATACTTCAACACTTCTGCTCTGTGGTGATCATTATTGTCATCATTTTTTTTCCCCCAAGGGGTTCCTCTTCAGTAGAAAACATCTGTTTTCCTATCCCTTCATAACTCAGATACCTTGGACCATGACACCACTCATTACAGACCTATTGCAACTATTAGTGCAATTTGTAAGTTGTCACAGCACTTGATTAACAAACATTTAGTATGGTACTTAGAAACCCCAAATTCTCTTGGATTTTGTCAGTGTCATTCTACTATCAACTCGTTAATCTTCTTAAATATTTGTTTCCAGTGCCTATGATAATAATTACTTGGTTCTTGTAGCCTTTTTCAATCCCAAAAAATCTTTTGATACTAAATTGAGTATAATAATAATACTAATATATTAATTACCCCCTTAAGGGGGGTTCTTTATTCAAGGAACAGGACCTGTTTATTCCTTGGATCAAATCACATTACCTCCCTTTGCCCAGGTGTTGTAGGAGTCCTGTGCGTTTAGTGCTTCCCCATGAATTTAATAAGTAGCCACAGCATTCTTGCCATATTTCACCCTTGTGCATGTACCATATTTCACGGCTTATAAGACTTGTTTTAGCTTCAATGGCTCGGTATCGGACGTAACTGGGAGAGCTACAGCCCACCCCACACCCCAAACTTATAGCTCCCATCACTTACCTTCAGTTTATAGGACACAGGGTGGTTTTTGGAGACATGGAAAAAACGTGCGTCTAATAAGCCGCGAAATACGATACGTGTACAAGCCTGTTCCCACGCATAAATTTCTTAAACAGTGCATCTGTTATCTTCATTCAAGCAGTACAATTCATACATGTTTTCAAGTTGGCTTTTATCACTTACTTACTGAATAAGATTCTGAGGCTAGATAAGAATATTTTTATCTAGACAGTATTTATATATTGATTATTTGATACAGTGCATTAAATTTGTCTCTCATGATTAATAAACTGGAAAGGTTACCCTGCATTTTAATTGGAGCATTATATAATAGTTATTTATCTGTAACTTGTTTGGGCCATCTTTTTTATAAACAACTAATGTTTTTGTACACCTCACTATGAACATCTCACTGGAGCAAACATGCTCCATTAAAGAGAGATTATTTTTCTATATGCAGACATGGAAAACTGGGCTGAACTATATAGTGTATGTGGTTGACTATCTTATATAGGATTTAAATTTAACAAGACACATTTTTTATCACCAGGCAGGGGAGTTCCTCGGTAGTGAATGCTCTCTGCAGGTCACCTTGCAGGGTGAAAGTGGAGGTATTGCCCCCACCTCCCCCAATTCCCCCCAACCCTGCCAGCACTCTACATGCCCCCTCCTTGAGCCGGTGACCCAGCCTGTGGCCCCTTCACTGGTGGAGGAAACAACTGAGCAGGCCAAGATGGAGGAGTCTCCGAAGGGCAAAAACCTGGAGCAGTTAAGCATCAGTATAATAAATTCCTCTACCAGTGACTCTATGAGTGTGGGGTCACTGTCACGTAGTATGTTAGAAGTTCGAGAAGATGCAGGGGAGCGTGCAGAAGGTAACTCTTGGGAGCAGAGACCTCGACGCCCCTCTCAAGGTTCCAGCCTTTCTTCTAGTAGTTCAGAAGAACGTCTTAATTATTCTGCGCCTCGCACATTCTGGGAACGACGAGGTAAACCTAAACCTGTAGCTGGAGCTCCAGATTTGGTGATGGATCTTCCAGTCACACCATTATCGTCTTCCCCCAAAGAACAAGGTGGTATCAGTCCCAGATTACGCCGCACCCACCTTCATCGTGAGAGCCAAAGTTACGACAGTTCTTCCTCGTCTGGAGGCTCATCACCAGGCACCCAATCTCCTGACATGACCGCAGGGGAAGTTTTCGCTAAACAAAACCAGTGTACATTGAAGAAAACTCCAGCCCTCAAATCTTTCGGTGGATACAGTACAGATGCACAAACTCAGACAATAGTGCCAGTCAAAGTAACATCGTCCCTTAGCCTAACACAGAGAAACATTGATAGTACAGAGTTGAGGATAACAGAGGGAGAAGAATCATCAGTATCCAGCATTGTACGCAGTTTAGACAATGTGATGCAACAACTGGACTCGGAGATGCGGAGTGAGCGCACAGAAGTTTCCACTGATGTTCGAGTAGAGATACGGTCAGCTTCGGAAAAGCCACAGGAGGTAACAGTTGCACCATCAACTCCAAAGCTGGCTGCACGATACCTACAGGCTGTGGCAGCATCAACAGGTGGATCAACGCCTGCACTAAAACCACCTGTTCGAGTAAAGCCATCTGTACTCAAGAAACCATCTTTAACACGAGGCTCACCTGAACCTGAGCCACCAAAGTAAATAAACTAATGGCTCTTGATTGGAGCACTTAATAGTAATGTTTTTAACCAGTACAGTATTGGCTTCAGACAGGGAAATGGGCCTTATTGACATTTTAATTAGTGTTGTATTCAGTAATGTTTGTGCGGTGTAGATGAAATTCTAGTTCTGTTGATAATTGTAATTAGGCCATGTATGAAAATGGTTCACCTAAAACTCACAAGTGGTCTTGATTTTGACGAGGAATTTATTTTACATTAAACCATATTTCATTTAAATGGTGTGGCGATCTGTTTCCAGAAAATTATACTTAAAACAATGCAGGTATAAGTGTTTCGTTGCAGAAGAAAGCATATTATGTTACAGTGAAAAGCTGCATTTAGTGTGCCTCCTTAACATGTGGAAAACAGTGATGTGTTGTGCTGACTTAACAGTTCATAGGTTTACTGCCTTTGTTGAATTTGTTAGCATATCTTATCAGACACAAAGACAAAGGAGTGTCTTTGTAAGAATTCCAAAACATTTTGTTAAAATATTACACAAGAGTCTGTGAAGGGATATTAACCTGAAATATAATACATACTGCTGCGAACTTATTGCTCAAGGTGATGGTGCACGTGCAAGAAACTGATTCTTCCAATGCATTTCCTTTATGAAGCAGTATTCATGACATCTTCAGCCTTTGTCAGTACAGTACTTCATCAAGGTCAGTTTATTAATTTGACAGGAAATTACTTGATGGTAAATAAGAAAATAGAAATTTTTGTGTTGAAATGCCAAGAGAACGGTTTTATCCGAAATTATATCAGTATTAGGTGACCATCTTCAGAAGTCTAAACAAATTGGATGTGTAAAGTATGTGTTTGTATGTATTGAAGAGGATTATGCATATAAAACTGAATGCTTTCATGCACATGTCAGGAAATGCACACCTAGTCAACCTTGCTGGGGGAAATTTTTGATGAACTTTATTTTGTAAGTGAAGTTTCAAAAGCATCTCTTGTCTTAACAACATAACACTTGAGATTTTTTCTCCCTAAATACAAAATTATGTATCGACTGAAGTGCATTCTTGCCCAGATGGTGTCAGTGCTGATCTTGAATGGTGCTTCCAAAGTGCTGATGTGTTGAAGAAACTGATCCCAGGAAAGTTATTGGGTGCTGAAGGAGAGATCCAGGGGAAAGGATATGAGCTTAGTATATATTTTGATGACCATTCCTATAAATAATTAGTGGTGAAAATTATCTATATGCAAGGTGAAACTGTGGCAAGAGGAGAGTAGTAGTAATAGTGCTGTACTAGGAATGACAAAACGCTTCATACTTTTGAGCTTACTTGAATTCCGGGAAGCTGCTCATCCTACTCACATTTGTAAACATACCAAACAGATATTAAATTGTAAGAGATTAGTTTATAGTGAAGCATGAAGCACAATTATGTGATACATGATAAAGGACCAATCTGCTAAGTGCTTATTTTCCTATACAAGTACTGTAGTGACAGAATCATTATTCTTGTGACCCAGACATCCAGTGGTTTTGGGGTCCTTTGCAGATAATTGAATTTTGGATCTGAAATCCCCATTGTAAATATATGTATAATTTTTTCCTTTTCCAAAAAAAAAAAAAAAAAAAACATGACACAAGGGCACATTGGAAGTGGGCATAAGCAAATCCTGGGAAGGGTGGGAAGAGGAGAATATACAGTTGTTGACTTTAGATATATTCTCAGGTCATACATCCTTGTGGAAGCAATGAATCTCAAAGCTAAAATTTATATAGTGAATTCAAAAAATTTACTGTCTAGTGTGTTACCCAATGTGGAGATAATTACCATATACTATATGCTATTTTTTCTAACTGATATTTGTCAAGTAAGGCTCCTCTTCCATCTCCAGCTCATGTGAGTGAGTTGCAAGATAGCTGAGATACTTACATTATTGTCTATAGCCTGAGGAGTGTTTGGCCAAAATGTTGATCATGTGTGCTTCGAATAATTGAAAGTAGAAATTACCAGTATAAAAATTAACAATCACTTCTCTGTGCAACATGCTGTTATGAAACAAATTATTCATTAGAAGCTTCATCAGTCTTGTTTACTGGATGTCTCATTATACACTATCCAGATTCATTTATAACTGAAATTAATTGTAACATTTACAGTAGTTACTTAAATTTTATCATTTTCATATTTGTATTGCATCTGGTAACACATTGGACAATAATGGGTAGCATTATGATATTTCATCGCACATTTTATAAAAATATTTTTTTTAATGCAGTGTACAGTGCTGTTTTGTAGTTAGAATATTATTTAACCCTCCACTTCTGTTACTTAGATTTTTAAATTAGTATGGCCAGTGTTCAGACATGTAAGTAGATTTTTAAATGAAATTAGTATGGCCAGTGTTCGAATATGTAAGTTAACTTCAAAAAAAAAAAAAAAACTAGCTGCTCATTGTGGGTTAACCTAGCAACAGGAAAATTAAATTAAACACAGATGTTGACTTTGCAAATATTGTATTTTAGATCATATTTCCATTCATTGCACCGTCTTAGCCATAAATCCACTCTTGTGGGAGTGTAGAGGGGAATAATAGTTTTTCAATTTCTTAACTTGTCTTCCGGTCCAAGAGTATGAGTGCCTCACATCCAAGTATTCTGCTGTGGAATCAGAGCATTTCGCAATGGAGTAATGTGAGATATTTTAGTAATCCTTACAGTGGTCTTGTGTTAATGACTTTCCTCACATTTAGATACAGTTGGAGGAGCATAAGCTATAGAGGTCACAGGCTTCAGCAATGTTTTTTGTAATTAACAACAGTTTCTCAGATTAATTTTGTACGAATTTATATTTTAATTTTTATATTTATTAATGTAGCCAAGAGAAATCCATACCCCAGGCATGAGATTAATATTTTTCAAAATGACAGCAATTAGCAGATATGGCCTTCTCTTGGCCATGTGTAAATTCCTCATATGATGGAATCAGACATGTGTGACCTCTTGAGGCAGGCTGACAATGTGTTCAAGTGTGAGAGTGTAACTTAGAGTGTCTCTCGAGAACACAATTGGTTTGACATCTTGATGCTGGTTATGAGTATGATACAGTGTTAGATAAAATTCCAAGTTGCTATGTCTTTCATTGTCTTCATTTATAGCAGTTATCCCAGATGAGAAAATGCTGGTAAATTTAGTGAATATGAAGTTAATATTGTAATGTTAATGCTATTGTAAAATTCAGTAAGTTTGAGTTAGAGATACAAAGACTATAAGGTGCACATTTTCACTATTACTTTAAAGATAAATGATAGTATTGGAAGTATATACCTGTGATTGCTGTGCTCAGAAAGTTTTATTTTATTTAGAGACCATGGAACCTGTTGCATACTTTCGGAGTAGACAAATGCTCTTTTGCAGGATGAAAGGCTGATAGTGTGGCCCTTGTGTCTCGTTGTCTGTCTGGTTGTTTTGTTTTCAACTTCTCATCTGCTTTCTTACTCATCTCTACAGGACTTGTTGTCTCCTTTCTTTATTTACTTATTTCGTTATGAGACTACAGGCTTTAAATTGTACTATTTTACTTGCAGTGTTAAAAATAATAAAATATTTTGAAAGTAGTGTTTGTCTAATTTTCATCTGCCATTTTTTATTTCAATATATTTCATAGATAATAATGATACTGAAATGATCATACGGAATTCTGTATTTTGCTAAATTTGTTAACCCCAATACCTTTAGTCGGTGTCAGGTATTACACAGTTAATTTTGTATTATTGTAGCAACTAATTTTTTTTTTTTTTTTTTTTTTAATGTTATGGTATGGTGCTGTGTGTTCAAGCATAACCTTTATCCTCTACATGTGCTAACCCCTGTGTCTTCTGAAGAAGGCCTCATTGGTGAGTGGGGAAAGAGATTACAATCTTTGTCACTGTCATCTGGAGCTTTCATCATCTGGGTAATAAGAGTTATGACGGCTAATCACATCTGTGAGCCTGCTGTGCATTTTGCACTACCCAATAAATGTAATAATACTAATATGCATGGAGATCCATATATAACTGATTTCTGTTCATGTGGAAATTGAGGCTTCTGGAGCTGCAGATCACTACAGCCTCTCCTCACTTAATGATGGAGTTCGTTCCTAAGACCACATCGGTAAACAAATTCGCCGCTAAGCAAGGAGCATACTATAATGGTAGTGGATTTGTGTCGACCATCTTTGATGTTGTTTTAATGTCACCTTGCACCATTTATAACATTTCTGGTATATTTGTAAATTTTTATACAGTAGTGTAGTACTGTACATTGTAATAAAGAGAATAGAGGAAATCAGCTGTAATATACATTATATAGGTATACGTACTGATCAGAGAGCCCGTCGTAAGTCCAAGTCGTCAGTAAACGAGTATGTCACTAAGTGAGGAGAGACTGTAGTGGACAACCTACTTCTTTGGTGGGTTCATAGAGGTAAGTAAGGCAAGATGTTCAGATTATATATTGAGTTAGTCAGCTGGTCATATTGGGCTGGGATGAAGATATGTTATACATTCAACAAATATAATGGATCTAAATTTACAAATAACCTTTTAAACCCTTTAAGCATGGGGAGGGGTTATACCTTGATGCAGATGAGGGATTCTTGAGTCGAGGAATTTGAGTTGCTCTTAATACAGGAATTAAGGTTCTAGCATTTCTCACAAATATAGTAATCTATGCAAAATAATTCAAAGTCTATGGATAGCTTTCTTAACCTAATCTTGCCTGTATTTGTGGAATAAACTCAAACCCCAAAATTTGCAGTCTTCCAAATTTACATACTTGTTAGATCTGACACTTTTATTGAATTGAAGTCTCACAAATAGCTTCAGTTCCACATTTTTTCAAAGTGCCCATAGTCCTTGTGGCTTAGCGCTTCTTTTTGATTATAAAAATAATTGGCACACAACCAATAAATTAACAACCAACCACAGGATTTCATTAAATTTGCTCTCTGGATTTCTCATGACCAAATGTATTTTTCTACTTAACATAATTTTTTATAACATCCTTCAGTGGGAAGGGGAGTCTTCATCCAAGGGACTGGAGCTATAATCCCATTTCTTGGAGTGACACTTATTGCCTCTCATTCCATAGATACTGTATTACTCATTACCTGGAGAGGGTTTCGGGGGCCAATTCCCCCCGTGGCCCGGTATGAGACCAGGCCTCATGGCAATGGGGTTCAATGCTCAATATTAGAGCGTGCGGCTCGCATCTGAAACATGGGGCATGTTGTTTACATTTGTTGCCTCTGTTCACCTAGCTGCTAGGTCCAAGTAGTAAGTAGGTACCTAAGTGTTAGTCAACAGTCATGGGTTGCATCCTGGGAAAGAGAAATGAGTTATAATGATTTCATTGATCTATCCTGAGTTACAAACCCTTCAGGTTGATAATCCTAATAAAATTAGCTTTAGTGCTTCCCCGTGAATGTAATAAAAATTAACTGCCGTATGTTATGTTATTAATTATTATTGGGACGTAATAAAATAGGGATTATACAGCGCCTTGTGAATGAGAGAATAAAGACAGTACCAAGGAAGGGGAGATTATTATTATTACAGTGTTAGGGTAATGCTAAAACCCATAGGGGTCGTGCAGCGCCCGAGGAAAATGGAAGGCATTTATGATCTAAGGAGTCCTCACAGCATCAGGACCTTGTAGGAAGCAATATTTCTTGAATATTTTTTTTTTTTTGGGGGGGGGGCGATGTATATATATATATATAACAAAGGGTACTCCTAAAATAGTCTTTAATATAAACATTTTAGAACATTTTAAATGTAAGTATGTAAAAATGTGTTTTTTTTTTTATTGAATTAATCTGACTTTTACAATCGTAAAATTACATTATAAAATTTCAGTCTTTCATAAAAGGTGATTACCAACTGTAAAGACTAAATCGTAAAATACAATTCACAAATTTATATTTCTCATTTATATGGGAAAGTACATAGTGTAATACATGTAAAAAGTTTGTACTTTAACGATTTTGAATGACCCGTATCCCCTCACCAGCCACGTTGAGGGGCTCTTGATCCCAGGAAATGAACCTGCTCTCCCCTTGGGTCGAACCTCCCTTGGTGCCGTATGACCCCTACCTATTTAGCACTCGCCTATAAATATAATATATGACCCGTAAATATTGGAGCTCATATTTATAAACGGATGTTTCTGGAACATGGAGGCCGCGTCACCAAGCTCTTCATCAATCTTCTTCTTGGTAAGTTCCTATACTTATTTCACAGTTCAGCAATTAAGAGGATGAAAATTAATTACTAGAGGCTAACTAGACACAGTTAATAAGTAACAACATTTTGAAATAAAGCGGTAGAGGCAGCTTGTTCTGACCAGTATCAACTGTTCCAGGAAGCAGGTTTTAAGGGAGGTTTTTTGATGCCGGTGATGGGATATGATCCACGAAGTTGGAGCTAACTTCTCTTAATTTGAAAAACTATTAATTCTTTCCCTAGGTGCTGATGACCAAATACGGGTCTAGCGCTTCCTGGCTACTGTAATAATTAGAGAAGTATATTACTCACGGGTTTAGCGCATTTTTAGCATGAATTGTTTAGCTAATTTATAATTCACTACAAGCACAGAAATAATAATGAGAATATGAATAAAAAAATTAAAGCCTGTTTTGGGAGAAAAAAATTGTCACTTGTGAGCCTTTCACTTGTAGGTTTAGCGCTTAGTTTTGATTGTAATAATAATGTGAGGCTTTGTTTTAGTTAATATTGTAATTTTAAGTATATATTTTCAAATATTTTATATAATATCGCGACCACTACCTCACATGCTGCTGTATAGCCCTTGTGGCTTAGCGATTCTTTTTTATTATTATTATAATAATAATACCTCACATGCTATACAAATGCTCTACTACTGTTTTTTTTAAATGGCAAAAATTGGACACCACAGCAGTGTGCTGCTTATAAGAGTTACACAGTGGGAACAAAAGTTAACTGCAATGTTTTTCCTTCATATTCCATCACACACGATGAGTCACTGTTGCAATGTCAGTCTGAACTGGAAGACTTCAGTAGGACAATAAGGATATCGTCAAATATTCCATTAAAGGTTAGAATAAAAAGGGTTTTTAATCATAACCATAGTTAAGGGGTGGAGGCGTAAGCCAGTGGAAGTCCTCGGTCAGATGACTAAAAGTTCCAGCTGTGGGTGCTGTATAGTCCTTGTGGCTTAGCGCTTCTTTTTGATTATAATAATAATCCAGCTGTGGGTCAACATATGACCAAGACCCACTTCAGGAAACCCTTGTCCTGTTTCCTGACAAATCTTACCTAACCTAACATTAAAGGTCCATCGGCTACAAGAGCTTTAAAGGTTACCTTCCAGTAAAGCTGGAGTTACTATTACTTGGGAATTGCTCTCTCTCAGGCTGGTCTGTTCCATACATAAGATAAATGGAATACCTCCCCACCTGTCGAAGGGAGGGGAGCTCTTGATCCAACAGATTCGACCTGTCCTCCCTTTCTTGAATCAAACTGGATTGTTTCCTATGCCGCACCCCTCAAGGAAGGTTCCTTGATGTTGGTGAGGGGCTCTTGATTTAGGGAATTGGATCTGTGCTCCAGTTCCCCGAATTAAGCCTGAATGCCTTCCACATCCCCCCCAGGCGCTGTATAATCCTCCGGGTTTAGCGCTTCCCCCTTGATTATAATAATAATAATAATCCTATGCCGCAGGCGCTGCATGGTTCCTACGAGTTTAGCGCTTCTCCGTATATAGTGGCTCAGGCGATACTAATTGAAATCCTTGTTGAAAATTATATTTGTCTTAATTACGTTTTTACTAATACAACGAAATGAAATTCCAGAATGCAGAGCTTGAATGACATTATTATTATTATTATGGGGAAGTGCTTAATCCTTGGGTGACTAACAACGCGTAGGGTAAAGGAGGCTCCCGGTTTGATCCAAGGAAGGGGAGGGTAGCACCATTTCCTTGGAAATATCATAGGTAGAATTTATCAAATGTTATGGACGTGGTATCGAAAAAGAGGTGACCGATAGTGGTGACAAGGCTGTCAGTCCCTATAGGGAAGTTCCTCTCTGATACCATTTATTCATGCTTGTGTAGCTCTTCTGTTTGAATATAATAATACACAGTGGAGATAAATAGTATAAAATGGAAAAGTAGACAAAAATGCAGTATAATACGACTCTTGATACCGTGCTCTCTGCCTTGGTAGATATGTTTGTGACTTGATAAACCCACTGTGTGGGCGAAACGTAAATAAAGGATCGCATTATACTGCATTTGCGTCTACTTTTTCATCATATATACTACCATTAATTTTGTTACTCTTGTATTTGTTCAACCCATCTTTGAACCTACAGTCTCCCTCTTTGATTTTTTTTTGTCAGCAACAGCTTTACTACACCGACTATGGTCGGTTTAGCGCTTTCTTTGATTATAATAATACACCGACTATGGTTATATTAACTCGACACCAGTTACACTCCTCACCCTCGCTGGTGTGATCAAGCAAATTATACCTTTAGCACACCCTACTTTGAATCGTTGTGTGACCCTTGAGGGTTGAGCTCTTTTATGATTATAATAACTGAACATACGGCGTATTCACAAATAGCAAATTCCGTTCTGTTTAGGATCATTAACAAATCACAACTGAATGGTCCAAGACGGACCAAAATGTCGTCTAGAATTTCCTCTCAATAAAGTGTGGGTTATTTGCGAATTGTTCTAGCTACGGTATTGTGACCTTTATTTTAGTGTATTTGTCCCCTGAAGGAAGGTTCCTTGACGCTGGTGAGGGGCTCTTGATCTAGGGAATTGAATCTGTGCTCTGGTTCCCTGAGTTGAGCCTGAATGCCTTCCATCCTCCCACATGCGCTGTATAATCCTACGGGTTTAGCGCTTCCCATGATTATAATAATTATAATAATTAGTGTATTTGTATCAGTTATACAAATGTGTAACCCAATTATATATATATATAATATATATATATATATAATATATATATAATAATATATATATATATATATATATATATATATAATAATATTATGAATATGTTTTCCGGTTTGGATCTGTTGTATTGATACTTCATTTTTAAATCCTACTGAACACATTGTTATTGTATTTAGGAATCTCAAAATTCATAGGAACCTTAGAGCACCTGGAGATATATTTGATAAATTGCAGGGTAACTCGAAATAATTTGGATTAAGTGCCCTTCACCAAAATCGAGGCGCTCCCCCTTCCTCCTTGGAAGACCTCTTAACATATTAATCGAATTCGATATAATTGTATTTTCCAACCCTGTTTATATCTGCTTTAAACATGCTGTCCACTTTTACGCGTTTGTTATAGCGACCTTCACTAAGTAGGGGGCGTGCATATTGTATATCAGAGGAATGAAAACAGTAATCTGATGCATGGTGAGCCACGCAACTCGCACCTTAGATACATGATCGCAATAAAAGTTAATTGGATGGACGACCGTGTTTTCTCGAGTTGAACCATCAGTGTCTCCAGATGGTGCATGAAAAGTATTTTAAGAACTTTAAAAATAGGTACTGGTTTTTACTAGGCATATCCATCCCGCGCAGGTTTAACTCATAAGAGAATGTAGCAGAGCATGTGTTAGTAATGGATGATATTTGTACTTTGATCTTTTTTTCTCTTAGCACAAATGCTCATATTGGGGTTTCTCTACTCGGGTAACAATTTTGGATTATGCGTCCAGTGTATAGTAAAATGACCAGACCTCTTTTCTGTATTGTAGGTGTAGCTTCACAAGAGCAGGTTCCGATGTGAATACACATGTGCTGGTGTTAGTGACAGGTGGCATTGTCGAAGTGACAGGTTGAAGTGAGATGGGTCGTGACATGACAGGCCGAAGCGTAACGTGTAGCGTTTGGTACGAGAAATATGATAGGCCACACTTTAATTAAAAGATATATTAACTCATTGCTTCGTAAATAGGCAATCGCATTCAGTAAAAAGTTTCGCAAAAATAATGCCTAATTATTTTTGAAGTGTAACAGTTCGCTCTTCAGCTGACATTGTTATAACTCAAGCCGGCTAATTTGATACAACTTGTGAAATTATGTGATGTAATTTAGAGGTTGGGACCCCGAGTTGCCCTTGAAGCCTAAAAAAAAAAAAAAAAAAAAGAAGAGCTCTTGTTTCACAGGCCAGAAAAATTTGATGCAAGCCTCGGTAAAATGTAACATGTTTTTCTAACCAAGAGAATATTTCATGTTCTTTTTATTTTTTTTATCGTGAATCCTAGATTATACCAATTCGTCTACTGAAAATTCCAGTAGAACAAAAAACTGAATTTAATAGAGTTAAATTAAGTTATATGAGAATTTTGATGGTACTTGGCATTGCGAAGCGGCCCTCAGAGGGAGCGACCGAGAGCTCATTTTCTTTAACATACAGTGTGCCGTTTGATGTGGTGCGGGGAGGTAGTGCTGCACGAGTACTCCCACTCCTTGTATGAATGTTATTAAAATGTGCGATTTTTTTTACTGATTGTAAAAACCACGTATAGATGTCAGTGCGCACTTTTTCGACGCAAACCACGAATGCAGTAATTCAAGAAAAAAAGTCCTGGATACTATTGGAGGCAAATTAGTTTTTTTCTATGGATTTAACTATTCAGTAAGTACTAATCGGTTAGACTTTTGTTTTTAATTACTATAGATTAAAATTAAATAAGTTAATAGTTTAGCAGTTAGATGGAAGGTATAACTGGCGGTGCTCTTCAAGGGAGATAGATACCTTGATGCTGTTGAAGGGTTCCTTATCAAAGGAATTGAAGCTGTCGTCCTTTTCGTTAGATCAGAACTGATTGTCTCCCATTTCCCAGATGCTGCATAACCCTTGCGGGTTTAGCGTTCTCATTAAAATAATTAATGTTATAATAATGGCGGTGATTATTTCATGAGAGGACCACTAATCCGTAGAGAGTTAAACAGTGTTTTGGAGGAATTGGAGGCATCCAAGGAGAGGAAGGGTAGTTCTGATTATTTGAATCAACTGCCCTTCACCAGTGTCAAGACCACCCTTGAAGGGTGATGGTGATTATGATGAGTGTTGATAGTGAAGTGTGTATTGGTGATGCTGTTGATGGGATGGCTTTGATCAAGCCGGTAGTATTGTTGATGGGATGATGGCAAGTATTAGTTATCATAGATGCATGTTGATGTCTACCTGGAGGGTATTCCGGGGATCAACGCCCCCGCGGCCCGGTCCATGACCAGGCCTCCTGGTGAATCAGGGCCTGATCAGCGAGGCTGTATAGGCAGTATTACAATGATTCATTGTAGCATTGAGGGGAGGGATTCTGGCAATGACAGTGGTGATGTTGACATTGGTGGTGGTGGGTGCAGCATTGTTGTTATAGTGATGTGCATGACATTAATTGTGATGTGTCGATAGCAGCAGTGATTATGATGCAGTGCTGTGCGTGGCATTGATGGTGATTTAGTGGTGGTGGTTGAAGCATTGATGGTAGTCATGCAGTGATGATCATGGTATTAATGGTTGTGATTATGACATTGTGGCACTGATGGTGATTGTGAAGGACTTGGAAGTGTTAATATCAGATGATCTCACTTTCAAGTATCACAACAGTGTCACTATCACACCTCGAGGAAAATGATAGGATGAATAATGAGAATTTTCAAAATAAGGGATGCCAAGCCAATGGTGATCCTATTTAAGTCACTTGTTCTCACTAGGCTGGACTACTGCTGTACACTAATGTTCCCATTCAAGCCAGGTGATATCGCAGATGTAGAGAATGTACAGAGAACCTTCATTAGACGTTTAAGTTCAGTCAAGCACCTGAATTACTGGGAACGTTTGAAGTCCCTTGACCTGTGCTCCCGGGAACGCAGGTAAGAGAAAAATACATAATCTACACCTGGTCCCAAATCTGTACACAAAAATCACTCTCTACGAAAGCAAAAGATTGGGCAGATGGTGCAACATACCCCCGCTGAAAATCAGGGGCGCCATGAGTACACTAAGTGAAAACAGTAAGTGTCCTGGGACCAAAAGTGTTCAACAGTCTCCCGTCATACGTAAGGGGAATTACTAAGAGACCCTTACTTTCTTTAAAGAGGGAACTGAACAGATACCTAAAGTCAGTGCCCTGTCAGCCGGGCTGTGGTTCGTACTTTGGGTTGCGTGCGGTCAGCACTAACAGCCTGATCCACCGGGAGGACTGGTCAAGGACGGCCGTGGGGGCGTTGACCCTCGGATCTACCTCCAGGTAGGTAGACAAAAAGTTACGGACTATATCGATGACCTCAGGGTGAAATACAACTTCATGTCCAACAAAATACGGAAGGCGAGGGTAGAGGCTACAACACAAATGTGCTGGCTGCGGTCAGAGAGGCAGTAATACTTTCCAGACGTGTCCTCGGGTTCATGGGCAACGTGTAAAGAGACATGATAACATTGGCTATGCAATTGCAAGGTATTATCATCTTAAGAATCATGTGGTTAGAACGATCTGTACAAACGGAGGACTACGTAAACCTGATTTAATTATCTGCGATGTAAAGAATGGAAAGGGGGTGTCCTTGATGTTAAGAGAGGAAGTGATTCGAGTACTTCGACCATGGCACAACAGTTTCAACAGAAGGCATCGTATTACGATTCGGGTCAGGTGTGTCAATTTGCCGCACGGTAGGCGACTCAGCAGAGGAGTTTGTCAAGATCTAATGACGTTGAGTTGACAGAAGACGTCGACACACAGCCTTTCTCACCTGACGAAGTGATTCTAGGAGCTGTCATAATAACGTTGAGAGGAATTACGTCTCTCGAATCCTATGCAATCCTCAACAAAGCCTTGAGAATCGGTGTAACAAGTCTCGGGTTGTATGTTGTAAAAACTATGGAGGGTTCAGTAATGCAATAGAGAATGTATAAGAGATAGGGAGTTGTAGACCGCCCTTAACGTGGCAGCAGACACCAAGCGTCAACAGTCCCAAAAGGTGACATAATTCATGGCCACCGAGTTTCATCTACGGCTAAAATGTCCAAGAAATGTGATCATGGTATTAATGGTGGTAATGCAGTGAGTATGGTATTGATAGTAATGGTGAAGTCGGGAGTATTGCTGTGTTGACATCGCGGCTCAGAGCGAGTGAGATAGCAGAACTAGATAAAATATAGAGAGCGTTTACAACCTCCATATTACTAATAAAGCATTTGAACTACTAAGAACGCCTCAAAGTAAATGGAAATGTGCTCCGTGGAAAGGCCAGAGAGATAGGCGATACCATACACATGGAAGATACTGAAAGGCCTACTTCCGAATCTGCATATACCGATAACGTACTGGAGTAAGTGTGAAACAGACCTACCCTAAAAGTAGAGAAGTCACGGGCACAATACGAGAGCGCACTGTATCAACATCGACACGCCTGGCCAATCCCAGTGACCGTAAACAAAGACACTATTTCTGTCTCTGCTGATAACAGAGTTAGGTTAGGTTCTGCTACGTTAAGGTATATTATTTTGGGTCATGTTAAGTTTCGTTAGTTTTTTTTCCCACATCCATAACATAAAACGTTATTCGTGGCAGAGCTCAGTTAATATTGGACATTTTAAACTATAATTTATCGCCAAAAGACGCCGAGGAACATCATTCGTACTTGCCCAAATTTTACTGTGGTCTTCAAGAGGGGACTCAACAGATTCATCAGAACAGCTCCTGATCAACCGGCTTGTGGTGCATACGTTGGACTGCTGCCGGCGGGCACTAAGAGCTTGAGCGATCAGGCCAGCAACCAAGAGACCTGGTCGGGTCTGGGACCGGGCCGCGGGGGCGGTGACCTGAAGCGACTCCCGATCAACTTCAGTTATTTTAACACGCCTCTCTGTCGATAGCTTGATCAGTCAAGTTGTTGGTGCTCGTGACACGCGTTCAGACGTAGGTTCGGAACTATTTTTTTTTAATTTAGGATAGAGTTACGAAGAAATAAAGGCTAACCTTTGAGTTGCATTAGTAAAACAATAGACAAAAATTAACACAGGACAATTTGAGTGGAAGATTTCACACCGCCTTTGAGTTGATATCTTTGAATATTCTCCACAATGACTTGTTAGCCCTACTAAAGATTAATTAAAGCAGATAGTACGATTATACCTGGCAACTCATAATAACAAAGCATCTCTTGTTATGCAGTTATCGTAGGTGTTTTTCTCAACTGGTATTAATGAAGGAAGTAAGTGATTAAGAAAAGTTCAACAGTACATATCAGAACCACCATGGAGCGAGCAAAGTCTAGCCAGCGGAAGTCTGAACTCGGTTGTTGATGTTCCGTCTAAAGTTCTGAACTGTTGTTTTTGCTGTTGTACACGAAAGACATTGACTGCACCCCATTTGATTAGTACGAGTATGAGGCAATTATTTAACGTTACCTCAAGAAGGTATCCACTTGTCACACAGCGTAAGTTCCTCCACTCCAGAATAACCCGTCTAACTTAATGTCTGATGCCTTTGCATTAGACGTTATGTTTCGCAGAATTCTTGTGAAATGCTTCTTGGGATAAAAAGGTTAAAGTTCAAGGTAACGTTTGTTCCGTTGTAGAAGTGGGGTTTAATTTTGAGTTATGTGTCCTACTCCGTCTGGGAAGAGATGGAAAGGTGATTTGTGAACAATTTCAGGCATCATCGCCCCTGTGGCCCAGTCCCTGATGGCCTGATCATTCAGGACTTTTATGTTCGGTCCTTCATTTTTCCATCTGCCACACAAATTTGCCATATGGCATTAGGAATCGTACGTGATATGTGTGCACGTTCACTTCAGTCATTAATCTCAGGAAGTTGAAGATGCGAGCGTGTTTGAAAGAAAAGATTAAACTGAGTAGATCTGTCATTATCATTTCATGTATCATTATGCGTAAACATTTCTTAGTGATAACTTGTGAATAGAGACAATATTATTCAAGAGGCAGATCAGTCAATCTATGATGGTTATGTGACCCAGTGGGCCTCCAGCAGCAACAGCCTGGCAGGCACCAGAGAACCGGAAGAAGGAAAACTCTCGAAACACTTCGTAGGTATTTTTATAGTCTTTAAAGGGGTCTAGTGTAGTTTCAAAACTAACAAGTGATAATGTGTTTTTACGAAATCACTTTTTATAATTATATCTAATGCTGAATACAGGTTTAGCGCTTTGTAAATATAACAGTTTTATCACTTTTTTTTTTTTTTACACACCATCAGTAGCAGTAGATACATTAGTTTAAGGCTACCATTTTTAGCGAACAGATTATTTTGTTTATATTTATACGGTGGATGTAGATAGGAAGTACAGTCCTTGATGTTTTGGTGTTTTGACTTCCGGAGTTTCATTAAATTATAATTGTGTAAGCCATGGATGAGTCATTCTGATCAGTAGTCTCACTCATAAAGAGTATTTCCGGCTACCATCCCATCAAGGGGTGCCTTGAAGTCATTGATGGGCTCTTCATTTAAGGAATTGGAGCATAATATCCTTCCCTGGATCAAATATGAGGGCCCCTACCGGTTTAGAGTTTCCCATTGAATATAAAAAATAATTAACCGGCTTACCATAAGAGGGAAGTGTATGCCATATCAGGAATATTTTATAGCAGATTTTATTTAATGTGCACCGGAG